TGACGCTGACGCAAGGCGCTTCAACCCGGTCCTTGAACAACAGAACCGAAAACAATGGTAGGCCGAATCCCCATGATGCCAGTTGATATAACTCATGTGTATCAGTTATGTGCTTAAGCAGTGTATGGGAATAACATACCGTGGAAAGCCTTCCGGGAATAACATATCGTAGAAAGCCTTCCAGGTTAAATAAAAGTATATTCCTGCAGATGTGGATTAAGCCTTAAGGTGACACACAATAACCGGCAGACGTCATGCAGTTAATGTGGATTTGAGAAATTCATTGAGATTGTTGTGTTTGAGAAAAGGTTGTTGTGTCCGAGAAAAGGTTGCATTGTCAGACAAAATGACAATTATATTTCATGTCGAATTTGATGTTTTGCTGTTCCATTAAGCACTGTATATAATAATGACCTCCAACAAGTGAACACGCGTTCTCCTTCTGTACAAGCTTGTTGACAAATTGAGCATTCGTAGGTACAGCGAACATTAGATAGTTACGGGTAACGGCGCGCCACGCGACACTGTTTAAACACGTAACATGCTTTTGGCCGTAGTCTAGCTGAACCTGCCTACCTCTCTGTCTGTTCAACTAGACTACGTTTTGGCTGACTGTTGGCTTGGTGCACGCCAGATATTTTAATGAGAATAATTGTAACTGCCTGGCGGAATGTGGCTAGAAAACGGTCAGCGCAGTCAAGGACAATTTAACTGCAAAGTGCAAACTGCAAAGCGCAATAAACGTAGTGACGTGGCCATCATTCAAGCGCTAACTTCGTGCTAATATCGCTCTGCCTGTACCATTACATGCTCAATTTGTCGACAAGCTTGTACAGATACACTCGTACATCTCGCAGTTGCATTACCGATTGCGCATCTTGCAGGGTTAACATGTCAAGGAATAACCGTTGAAGCTATGTAGTTTAATCCTTTATGAAGCTAGTTTAATCCTTTATGAAGCTAGTTTAATCCTTTATGAAGCTAGTTTAATCCTTTAAGAAGCTAGTTTAATCCTTTATGAAGCTAGTTTAAACCTTTATGAAGCTAGTTCAATCCTTTATGACAGTATTTAGACCAATCAAAACAGTATTTATTTTTATACTAGTAATGCACCGTTGGGGTACTGCAAATAATTGTTAAGCGTTCAGCGTGTGTGACACTTTGAGCTGCTGCAAAACTTTGTTTCGATCTTATGTTTTTCGTTTTTGCTTTTATTTTGCAGCTTGATGGCAAAAAGAATAATCCATAAAAATCTAAGATAACTACAATAGAAATTAAGAAACCTAAGAAAAATGGTGCCAATAAAATTAAATCAAGCTAGGAAACCTAGGGAAAGGTCATGGAAATTAATGAGAAAACTAAGAAAACTTTTGGCTCACGTCCACAGACAGCGACAGAATATATTGGTTTTTTGTGCATTTTTCTTCGACTAGGCACTTAAGGTTTTAAAAGTTGTTACTTCTGTGAAACATGCTTGGCAGAAGAGAACACAGATAACTGAACATCGTGCGAAGGGGCCGATATGTGCTGATTTCCGGCACTTTGTACTGTTTCTTGGGTGGCACTCGTCCCTGGCTGTACTTCATGGCCAGGCGACACGTATGGATTGCATCGACGCAATACGTTACGAAAAAATTCCTTTAATCCAGTCCGATACTCGCTTCCCATCAGGAAGAAGATCACCTAAGCATAAAAATAGAATCTCACCGGAACACAACTCCCAATATTTGTTTCAGCCGAAAACGTTCTTACCGGTGTTCCCAGATCGCCACAAGAGTACAGTCCCCACATAAACAAGTTCAACTGCGGATTTTTTAAGAAAACATAAGGAAAAGCAGCCGAAACGACCATCCGCGGTAAATAGCAGAACAAATCCCACAATTGGGAAGCACACAGCATCTTGCCAATGAGAATACGGCGATTGAGTGTGGCCTGCATCTTCCGATCGACTGCGCCGTCGCGGCGGAACTTTATGCGGAGTTGCGATAATAAAATCAACAAGTAAAACACAACCGTCCCGGAAAGTGGTACATGGAGGCACAGGATATTTCTGGTTTGAAGGATTTTCCAGCTGCCCGGTGTCGTCGGTTGAATAGAGCAGATATTCCATGGTGGAACGACAGTGACGGCCCAGCCGCTGCCAACAACCATGGGCAGCGAACAAGCCACCGGAATCACCCAACCAGCCAGGATCGTCACAATGGTTACCCAGCGTTTGTTGATTTTCGAGTAGTGGTGCGGAAAAACAACGGCAATCATCCGGTTGATGGACAGCATAAACGCTGCCCAATGTCCGCTGCCGGCGAAAAGGGGGTACATAAGGTAAACATTGCGGCAGTGCGTTAACGTCAGCCTGGCTAGTGGGAAAAACATGCCCACCGATTGTGTTTGTCCAAGGACGGCCGTGACGACCAGATCAATGAGGAGCAAGTGGATGATCTGAATATGAGATTCCGATGGCTTGGCGTGCCGGTATAGTATGGCAATAATGAGGAGAATGATCAATAGCGACGTCAAGAATGCAACCAGGGTCACGGCGAGAAACCAGCCTGTCATCGCAGCTGAGCTGATTTCAAGCGGCCTGTTGGGTACCGTAAAATTTATTGACGCGTTCATGCTGATTTTCAAATTCAGATAAATACACTGCGGCACGGAAATAAAAAAAATAATTACTTGACCAGAAGTTGCAGAGTCACAGGCATCGATATACATCCAAGTCCGGAGAACCTTTTCGAAGTTTTGTAGCGCATGCACTCATTTTTATATTGAATAGCGATTGAACAGTTTTCTATGGAACGCAGTCGGTACAATGAAAAATATGTTTGTGCGCGCCGACAGTCATCTCCAGCAAAAGGATTTAAATGTATTTGTCTGATCATATTTGCTGATTCCCTATGCGCAGGATAATCTGAATTTTCGTCATGGGGAAAGAAAATCAGGTTCTTGCACCACATTCACAGGTCATTCTACCGCGCCGTCTCACCGCCTTCGATGAATGACGCGTGACCTTGATGGCTTTTTGAATCCCAAAAGATATTGCTATGTTTACTGCTGAAAAGCTTTTCTTGTCTTTTAACCGCTCCATAAGAATGTCCGCTCCATAAGAATTTAACCGCTCTGCTCCATAAGAGCTGTTGTCCAACAACACGTACATATCTGTATTTCTGAGAAAAGCGGGGTGCTCGTTTGTCCGGATGAATTCACCGGTTACAAGATCATACTCTATGCACGTACCCCATAAATCATTATCATATAGCAGCCCCTCTACTAGATTTTGCTGCTAAGTAGATAAAAAATAATTATATTGTATGATGTACTGGCGCCACAATTACCTAAGTAATAAATTTATGTTGTAGTCGTACATACAAACATACATACAAACAAACGTACATGCTAACATACAAAATTCGAGGGCCTCATTTTTTTCAGATTTGAAAACGATTTCAAAGTCCCGAAGACTGAGCTTCAATTTATATTTTTAAAGAAAATATTATTGGCCTTTGAATCCGTATCTGTACAATCCTCTACAAGAGTAATTATCGAAACGGTATAAACTTCCCACAGGGATTTCTCCGTCCAGAAACCACAAGGCCCGGTTTCGTGCAAATGCATTTCAGCGCGGACGAAAGTTATGGTATTGAATCCAAGCCGTGCGATGTCATAATGTACAATCCGCCGATTGTGCTGCCCTTTGCAATTTAAGCCCATTTCATCCTCCCCAACCCATTTACTAAGCGGATAGTTCGAATTACACATTCCATCACGTAAACGCAACGTTAAATGGCAAGTACGGGCTACAAACGTCGGTAAAACATCCACCTCTGGTAGCTAGTTGTGCCGAAGCCTAAATTCGTGTCCGGTCATTTCTGCCGAAGCCTGAATTCGTATCCAGACTTTTCTCCCTCATCGTAAATTCATTCGTATCCGGTCGTTTCTGCTTGAACATAGACTGGTATCTGAACGTTATAGTAACATTAAAGGTTAGGCAGAAAGGTCCAGCTACGAATGAACGGGTAGGCAGAAACGCCCGGCTACGAGTTAAGGGTTTAGACAAAAACTTCCGGCAACGAATTTACACTGAATATAATTGTTCCAGATCGAAAAAGCAGAAAAAAACCGGGTGGGCAAAATTTACGGCGGACGTTTTGGCGTCTCCCGGGCGTTTTAGACGGTTTAAGCGCCAAAACGTCCGCCGGACGCCTCAGACGTCCGGACGTTTTGGATGGTTACACTCGTGATACAGTGTGCAGGGGCGTTGCCCAGGCGAGATACCGGAATGATGCTATATGCGATGGAAAACATAAGAATTTCTAACGGAGCGATTGGATGAGTTTTTCTCAACGTACAGTCCTTGTTTTTTTATCTTCAAAAATCCTGTGCGTCGTAAATAAGACCAGTACTAAAATGCATTTCTTGATAATGAAAAGGAAATTTGCAACAAGCAAAAGGTATAATCACTTACAGAAATCTAAAGCTGCTTTCTGTGATAAGTTAAATAATATGAGTCCATTCATAAAACTGACACTTAAATTTCCGCTTCTTGAATGGACCACCCGACCGGCCACATTTGGGAAAGCTACCTTAAAACTTGAAACATAGTAACGGACAATAAGGCTGCCTATAGCTTTCGCACACAACGGGGTGCAGAGATATTAATTAATCGAAAAAGGTTCCCTAAAGATTTAAGTGGGTGCCAAAGGGGGTGCCTGCAGCCATTTCCTGATTGTTAATTTTATTAATTCAAAATTCAGCTCCAGTAATTTTTTTTAAAACGATCTACTGTATTTCAAAATAAAAGGACCATTTGTTATTCCATCCGTCTATTTTGCTTAGCTTGTGCGCATTGCAAACAATAATTTGTGGTCGAGACGAAGCAAAAGCGCCAGCAAATACAGCAATATACCAATAACAATATACCATGTTTGTCATGAGTTTACCATGAGTATACCATATTGGTCATGAGTTTGACAATTAAAAACTGCAGCTTTACAGATGCGACAAATGCAACAAGATGTATTGTGTTCTTACAATACTGTTGCTAGTTCAGAATCAATAAGAAACTATGGCCGTGTCCCAGGATGTAAGCTTCATGATTGTGATTGATCAGCAAAAAAATAATACAAAGCGTCTGGATAACTATGCAGTTGATGACCAACATGGGGCAGCCAAAATGTCAAATAAACCGAAACGGCGCATACAAATTTAAACAGTTATATTATGCCACCGGAAAAGTTACGACGATCGTGATTTTCTTTGCGCTATGTGTTCTTTTTTGCTCTTCGTCCAGTCATCACGCCGGCTGGTTTCGTTGTAAACCATTTTTCTTACGACACCCATGACGAGGTCCTGATCCCGACTGGCCAGCAGGCGCCACGTCGCAGTCGACAGAAGCAGCCGCGTCGCAAATACTTCCCACACACTATCCAGTTTGTTATCTGCGTCGTATTCATAATAATCACCATACTTCTCGTAGTCTTTCTCCCGTAAGCTTATAGCCACCACGTCAACAAGCCCTAAAAATCTTTCGACGGCATCTGTACGATCTTGGCCATGCAGAATTTTAACGATTTGTTCGGCAAACTTCCATGCCTCTTCATTGCCCGGATTTGTCACCAGCCTTTTGCACAAAAGTTTGTACTCTTTGTTGAGTGCCTCTTCCGGCAGTCCCGGGTGCAGTCTCTGTAACACGACGGCACGGTGTTCCCAGGGAGAGCAGGAAGTATCGTCACGCAGGATTTCCTCTGTCGTGTGTCTCATGAAATCTTCCGCCAACGCGACGTCCCCATAGGCGGCAATGTAGGCACGGTGGCGATTTGCATATCTCTTCTGCTTTTCGTCCCTTCAAACGAAAACACACCGTGTTAACTGCTATGATTCCGGTTTATCGAGGTTAAAGGGCAAAAAAATACACAAACTACCGTGCTACGAGTTTATAAGATTATAATCCACATTCTAGGTGCTTCCGTATACAGATACTCTAAGTATACAGGAAAGGCCTTCTTAAGTACAGCTTGATCAATTGTGATCGATTAATACTCGAATTTCTGATACCATTGATACGCAGAAATTTATGGTCTGGTGAATACGGTTCCCAACGTTATTTTAAGGCAGTCTAACATTACTCGGATGCTAGTCTACTATCAATACAGTGGAACCTCCTACTTTGAACACCCCCGAACGCTGAACACCTCTGAATCTTGAACAAATTTTTTCGTACCGGCGCTTCTCGTAATGTATAGCATTAGAGGGGACCTCTGAACCCTGAACACCTCCGAACTCTGAACCGTAAACACTGTGCTATGTACCACAGTATGTTTTTTTAGTAAGTAAATTAAACCTCCAGACATGAACAGAGCAGTTGAGCAAAACATCCGGGAAGATATAGTGTTCAAGGTGTCCACTTAGATCATTCGTAACCATTCGTTTGCCGTTTAATTTTTTTTATTTCGTGAACGTATTTTTAGTTTTTAAGTAAACATCAGGTCAAGGATACGTCCCGGACAAGTTGACCGCTGCTTATTCTGATAAAAAAAATCTGTCCTCGATAATTGTTCGGCTAACGAATACTAAAATTTAATTTTTTGAATTGTAATTGCCGTGTTAACCTGTTATCTTGCCAAAGACGACACAACTCATACATTATGCTTTTTAACTAGGTACATATAAATTATTTTAAGCCAGGGGCCCCCCTAAGAAAGTCTCCACCCCTGGGGGCAGTACCTCTGAATCATGAACACCTCTGAACCCTGAACAAAAACAGCGTGCCGAGGGTGTTCAGGGTCGGCAGGTTCCACTGTAATAAGTAAACCTACTTAGAATATGCAATGCACAGTGAGGGTACTGTGCTTACAATTAGTGCTAGTAACACAACCAATACTGTATAATCATTTTTATAAATTTTTCAATCAGAGCACTACCGATAAACGCCATAATAATATTAGAAAAGGTAATAAAAACACCTGTCGCTCAGCAAGCTGCAGAAATAAAAAATTTAGTAAGAATTAAAATTCATACCGCCATCAAACAGATAATAGAATTAATCTTTTAATGTTAGCGGCTTATTGTGAACTACTGAAATCAATTCTAATTTTGAAATTAAGAAAACTGTCATCACTGACATCACAAAATTATAAATTACTCTGTACAATAGTAAAAAAAGTTAAATTATTCCGATCTACCTGTTTTTTCTACCTTATTTGTTTTTAAATACATATGTACTCGTATATCCGGCGTTACTGACATGTGAGCATAGTCAGTGAATACAGTAATGTCTCAACAAAACATCAAGAAAGCTGCGTTGATTATTAATCCTTTTTGAAAGTACTCGGTTTGTCTGCACTCTCTACCTTGCACAAATAATAGTCGGCTTTTATTTAGCAGTATTCTGACACTTGAAATTCCGAGGTCGCCCAGAAACTAATCTTAGGACTGCAACAAATTATTAGAATTTTTAATTCTGAATGTATCGTATTTTTTGAAACTATAAAAATTCTGTATATTAAAACAGCCGCCCATGAAAGGTGTGCATAAAATCCGCGATGCCTATAATGGTTTCGTAGTTATAAAAATATGAAAAAACAATAATTACGGTACGAGCAGCAGGACTAATCGTTCACAGTTCTATCAAATTTTGTCCTCACTGTTGCATCCGCTGCCAGAGTTGCACCTCATGGGCCCATTCAGGGTTTTTCATGCGCGCTAATATCCATCGGCGGTGTGACCAGGGCAAGTTTCCGTGGGTGTTGTCAAATGAGAAGGTTCCGGGAGGTAGGTCTGGTTTAAATATGCAGCGTTCGGTCAGATGCAGTTCATATTTGCACAGTTCATTTAGACTTCCGTCGGCGTTCCTGCACTCCTCCTTTTCTCTCTCAGCATCGTCCTTGTCGTCGTCCAGCGAAGATGGTCGGAAAGGTCTGCGAATATAGCATCATCATGTCCACTTGAAAACAGCATGACATCACTGGCATGCAAAAAACGACTGGTAACTCAAGAATTAAACTTCAAATTTGAAATAAAGTACAGTGTATGCAGTACTCTGTAGGGATAAAAAAGTTAGAAGTGATTGGCTGGTCGGCGGGCAAAGATTCAGTCACAAAAACAAGTGAATCTGTCCAGCAGTAACAGTTTAAGCATGCAAATTAAAATAGCCAGCACTGGTTTCTGACTGAGAACCTTGTTTGCGCAAATATGCGTAAAATGCACTTTTCTTTTTGTACGCATGCACATTTTTGCAACTAAGAACAGTTATTTCTAATTGTTTTGTAACAGTTATTTCTAATTGTAAATGGTAGAGTTTATGCGAATAAATTTCTCCGAATGGCCAAAGAAAATTGCTTTTTTACCGGTGCGATAAAACTTAACAGTAGCCAATTACTTACCTCCCAAAAACGAAATCCAGTAAGTCACGTCGGTATTTCCAAGCTTCAAAATAATTCCGGCTTGTAAGGTAAATTTCCGTGCGCAACAGCATTTCAATTGGCACAATACCGTCCTCGGTGCTATTTGGAATTACATTGCCGAAGGCCGCCATAAATGGGTCTATTCTTGCCTTAACTGCATCCTCGAAATGGCTAAGCGCAAGTTGGTTGAGGTCCGAGCTTTGGTCATAGTTATGAATGTCTTTAGTCAGCTTTTTGAATTGCCAACGATGGTACCAGGCCTACATATATGTAGTATGAACGCAAAATCAGTTCCATACGCGCGATAACCACGCAAAGACAAAACTGGGCATAGGCGCGAGAGGCACTGAAAACCCGCCGCACCCAAACGACGGCAAAGTAATCTGTTGTAAAAATTACTTGGGATTTTATAAAAGTGCTTAAACTGATCGTTTATCTACCTATGAAGCAAGGTACCGTGTTAAAAATTACATTACTTAATCGACACTTTTCGCGCGGAGCCAACGAGCATTTCGCTACATAAAAGTTAAAAAATTGTTAAAAAATAAAAAAAATTGTTAAAAAAATCGTTACTGCATTTTTAAAACATAATTCATCATTTTCTTCAGCGAAAGCTACTGGGCAAGAAATAAAGCTGTATAATGCATAGAAAGTACAAAAAATGTAAACACTCGGGCGAATCTGGTGCACGTTTCTGCTTCCGAAACTGCCAGAAATTCTCTAAAAAACAGCATATAATTACGATCTTGTAAGCACTTCTTGGAGCAAGGTTGATTAATACTTTAATAAGTAATGGACTTACCAACAGATGTGTCTATTGCGGAGCATGTTGAACCCGTGCTCAATGCTCATATTCCGCGCAGGGTAATGAAATTGACTTTTTTATCTACAAGTACGCTAAACAGCTATTTTCGCACGGAGCGCAACGCTTACAGTCGGTTTACAGCAGAAGACGCAAAAACGTAAGCCAAAAAATTTGTTTTTCAGCTTGCTGCAAAATCGGTTAGCATTTTAGTACTTTTTTGAAGTACCCAACATTGAAAAAATTCCGTTAGTGGGGCATATGACTCCGTGCCTCTCACGACTCATAAATTCGTCACTGCAACTTATCCTAAAAATTTCAAACCACGCTCTGCACTCTTTTACTTAAAGACTTTTAGTCAAGTTTTTTAGTCAAGTGCCTGCTAGTCCTACTGTTAATTTTAGACTTCTAGGCGAACAAAAAGTCCAGAATTATGGAACTCTTTGGATTCTAACCTGATCTTTATAGGAGCGGATCGATTCATACCTCCCGTGATCTGTATATGCTCCAAGTATCACGGGACACGAAGCAAGACACCGCCTAAGTGACGGGGCAAATCCTTTGAGCTGTAGCAGATGCTGTATAAATCTCGTGGGAGCTCCGCTCTGTCCAAAAACTAGAAGCACCATATTAATCAGTTGAGCTTTAGCAACGGCACTACTTCGATTAATGGATGCACGCTGCGAAAAAATTTCAAATATAAAAACTTGTAGGCACAGAAAGAGCTGCCAGTGCCTTATTCAGACTTGTGAAGATAAAATTTGAATTTGGGGTTCAAAATAAATTTACTAGTATCAAACGCATATGGATCGGTCGCAGATGCCATGTGCTCACAAAATAAAATCATTATTATATCGAAAGAGAACGAGAGAGAGTAGGTAGAGAAGCGAGTATGGCTAGCTGGGTATCCGATCGCTGCAATACCGGCTGATGCAACCGCCGGCATGCGTTACAACTTGCAAGTCATATTAGCTGATATGCATTGTGCATGGTCGCTCTGGACTCTGGATAGCTGGCCAAAGCAACACAGCACAGAGAGCAAATTAACGCACCGCCCACTGACATTCTGACATGTATCTGTACTTTAATACAGACATACTTTAACACGTCCTTTAATACTTTGCCTAACCAGTACAGTTTATTTCGCCGCATATTCACCAAAATATGAGACTTTCTTCCGTTCCCCTGTATTGCTGCCGCCACCAGGGCCCGGCTGGAGTGTGGCTTTATGGCTGAGCATGGCGCTGATGTACCGCGCCAGATTTACTGTAGCCATAATATGTACTGCGGTAATGTGACACCCAGGTGGGTAATGGCAGCAGTACTGGGGAACGGACTCAACGGAGGAAGGCGTTTGGTTTCGCCTGTCATATTAAGTATACTTCCAGTATGCTTATAATATTAAGTATATTATAATAAGTATACTCAGGCCCGTGTTTAAGGGGGGGGGGCGCACTGGCGCCCCCCCCCCATCCGGATCGAAGAAACGGAAAAAAATTGCGCCGGAAACTGGCGCTCCGGCGCGACATTTTTTCTCCAAGACCGGCGCGTCTGGCGCTGAATGACAGAATGAACTGGCCTTACTGGCGCACTTGGCACGCGTATGATTCAACTTTGTATTTTTTTATGAAAATTGGTGAAATACTGCACTGTCTGCACTTAATTGCCATTAGATTCCCACTGGCACCCACGGTGCACCGTAATAGCCATACTGAGCGGGGAGCCGCTTACGTGGCAAAGTTTTGCTGTAAGCCTGTAACTGTCATGTCATACATTTGTGACCGGCAAAAATGTCCCCCCTGTCCCCCCGGACATTTCTGCCGTGTCCCCCCTGCCACCATCGCCAAAACGGTAACCCTTTGGCCAGAATGGTGACACGGGGGACCTAGAACGAAGAGCTGATTTTCAAGTCAATCGAGCTGATTTTCAAAACTGCCACCAGCGTTACCACAGCGTTACCAGTCAAAAACAACTTCGAAAGTTGTATAGTGTAGGGACTGATTGCTGCAATAAAATTTGTACTGTGCGGCATGGGGGACATTATTGCCGGAATGAACTTAGTGGTGTCCGGCATGGGGGACATTATTGCCGGAATGAATTTAGTGGTGTCCGGCATGGGGGACATTATTGCCGGAATGAATTTAGTGGTGTCCGGCATGGGGGACATTATTGCCGGAATGATTTTAGTATGTCCGGCATAAGGGACATTATTGCCGGAATGAATTTAGTGCAGTCCGGCATGGGGGACATTATTGCCGGAATGATTTTAGTGTGTCCGGCATAAGGGACATTATTCTCGGAATAAATTTAGTGCAGTCCGGCATGGAGGACATTATTGCCGGAATCATTTTAGTGGTGTCCGGCATGGGGCACATTATTGCCGGAATTAATTTAGTGATGTCCGGCATGGAGGACATTATTGCCGGAATGATTTTAGTGGTGTCCGGCATGGGGGACATTATTGCCGGAATTAATTTAGTGATGTCCGGCATGGAATGATTTTAGTGGTGTCCGGAATGATTTTAGTGGTGTCCGGCATGGAAGACATTATTGCCGGAATTAATTTAGTGATGTCCGGCATGGAGGACATTATTGCCGGAATGATTTTAGTGGTGTCCGGCATGGGGGACATTATTGCCGGAATACATTTAGTGGTGCCCGGCATGGAGGACATTATTGCCGGAATACATTTAGTGGTGTCCGGCATAGGGGACATTATTCCCGGAATGAATTTAGTGGTGTCCGGCATGGGGGACATTATTGCCGGAATACATTTAGTGGTGCCCGGCATGGGGGACATTATTGCCGGAATACATTTAGTGGTGCCCGGCATGGGTGACATTATTCCCGGAATGAATTTAGTGGTGTCCGGCATAAGGACATTATTGCCTCGGAATGAATTTAGTGGCAGTCCGGCATGGGGGACATTATTGCCGGAATGAATTTAGTGGTGTCCGGCATGGGGGACATTATTGCCGGAATGATTTAGTATGTCCGGCATGGAGGACATTATTGCCGGAATGAATTTAGTGGTGTCCGGCATGGGGACATTATTGCCGGAATGATTTAGTGTGTCCGGCATGGAGGACATTATTGCCGGAATGAATTTAGTGGTGTCCGGCATGGAGGACATTATTGCCGGAATGATTTTAGTGGTGTCCGGCATGGGGGACATTATTGCCGGAATTAATTTAGTGATGTCCGGCATGGAGGACATTATTGCCGGAATGATTTTAGTGGTGTCCGGCATGGGGGACATTATTGCCGGAATTAATTTAGTGATGTCCGGCATGGAGGACATTATTGCCGGAATGATTTTAGTGGTGTCCGGCATGGAAGACATTATTGCCGGAATTAATTTAGTGGTGTCCGGCATGGGGGACATTATTGCCGGAATGATTTTAGTGGTGTCCGGCATGGGGGACATTATTGCCGGAATACATTTAGTGGTGCCCGGCATGGGGGACATTATTGCCGGAATACATTTAGTGGTGCCCGGCATGGGTGACATTATTGCCGGAATTGATTTAGTGATGTCCGGCATGGAGGACATTATTGCCGGAATGATTTTAGTGGTGTCCGGCATAGGGGACATTATTCCCGGAATGAATTTAGTGGTGTCCGGCATGGGGGACATTATTGCCGGAATACATTTAGTGGTGCCCGGCATGGGGGACATTATTGCCGGAATACATTTAGTGGTGCCCGGCATGGGTGACATTATTTCCGGAATTAATTTAGTGATGTCCGGCATGGAGGACATTATTGCCGGAATGATTTTAGTGGTGTCCGGCATGGGGGACATTATTGCCGGAATTAATTTAGTGATGTCCGGCATGGAGGACATTATTGCCGGAATGATTTTAGTGGTGTCCGGCATGGGGGACATTATTGCCGGAATGATTTTAGTGTGTCCGGCATGGGGGACATTATTGCCGGAATGAATTTAGTGGTGTCCGGCATGGGGGACATTATTGCCGGAATGATTTTAGTGGTGTCCGGCATGGGGGACATTATTGCCGGAATTAATTTAGTGATGTCCGGCATGGAGGACATTATTGCCGGAATGAATTTAGTGGTGTCCGGCATGGAGGACATTATTGTCGGAATGAATTTAGTGGTGTCCGGCATGGGGGACATTATTGCCGGAATACATTTACAGAGTCTGTAGTTGTGCCCGGCATGGGGGACATTATTGCCGGAATACATTTAGTGCTGCCCGGCATGGGTGACATTATTGCCGGAATGAATTTAGTGGTGTCCGGCATGGGGGACATTATTGCCGGAATGAAGTTAGTGGTGTCCGGCATGGGGGACATTATTGCCGGAATGAATTTAGTGGTGTCCGGCATGGGGGACATTATTGCCGGAATGAATTTAGTGCAGTCAGGCATGGGTGACATTATTGCCGGAACGTTATTGCGTTCTCACTGTTTCATTATAGAAGTACAGACAGAAAATCGTGAAATTTTATAACTTTTGCTGCATGACTGTGGGCCGGCTGCGGCTTTATTGTCTTCAGATTTTCCGTAAATCTGAAAAGTTCTTCATTACCATATTCCTTTGATACGTTGGGTGTAAGTATTTTAATCCACCCAAAAACGAACTAGAACGACAGCAGGGGTGAAGTATTTTTAATGTTACACTGGTCAACAGACTCAATCCTCAACTATAACATTATTTTAATCTGGGAAAGTCTGTAATAATCAAGGTGTCCGCGGCCGTATGTTTCGCTTCATACTGTCTGTAGCCAATAATTCACTTTTAAGTGGATTCAATCATAAGTAACTTCGTAAGCCTATAGGCATACGAACTTAATACATATATCGGGTTGTTGCAACAATAACAGCTCTTTTACGGTTTCTGTTGTTCTTCTTGCCTCCTATTTGGATGAAACTTGATTGCAAATCGAATCCAGCATCGTAAAAACTGGATGCTTTGTTTAGCCAGTAAGGAATCCCGCCGCATTTAACTGGAGGAAGAATTGATGGCTTCTGGTATATTCATTACGGTCAATAACAGATATTAGTCAACATTCATGGAAATGATAGTGATACTCTGCGACTCGCACTGTTACTGCTGCTGGCAGCGAGAACGGTAATGTTGCTGATTCTGGGGCTGGTTAAGATAGTGGAGCCATCTATGGTACTGGTAGTGATTTCAGCTATTGTACTGATGCCAATTGCGTTATCGACTCTCGCCATGATAAGAAAAGTACAGCCATGCTACCGGTATACGGTAATTTCAAAAAATCTTTACGGTACATACTGTAGCCGCCTGCACGTTGCAACGTCGACTGGCCTGGTCGCTTTTTTCTCCCTGCCAGGCACGCACTGCGCTGAGCGCGTTGTAAAGTTTAACCCAGGACTTCCCGGTACCCGATCCCGTTCGAATAAGACCATGAAAACTAGGAATTGTCGATAAAATAATTCAATTAAGAAATCAAATTTTTTTTCAGAATTTTGCTAGCCATAGGTCAGCTACAGCAGAATGGTATCAATCTGAAAACAACGGGCTGACTTGTACGTGTGAAAAATTTAACTTTTGTTTATTACAGTTGTAATCTAAAGTATTTTTGTCTAAAAATAATTTTAATTCAGACAGTTTTTAAAGGGCTATCTAGAAGCATGACATTAGTGGCCGTCGAAATGACCATCGGTCAGCAATACAAAATTAAGTCTATGACTGCGACAACCGTTTAGCTATACAGAAACTGTTCATCAAAATATTCAAAAACCGTCTGGGAAAATACTGGACACTGCCCAGTTAACGTTACCGGTCACCGGAAGAGCATTCAAACGTTACGCAGCTAAAATCATACACACCAGGGGCGAAACGGCACCGGTATTTGATTTCCAGTCGACGACTAACGCCAAA